GCTTAGAGTCCAAGTTTGGATGGGGACCTGGACCCCTTTATAAGAGAGTGGTGGGTTGGTCCTGCTCGTGCCTAGGGTACAAGCGGGGCATGTGTTTTGGGGTACCCAGCTGGGCACATTGATTCGTGAATCGTCAGGTAATCCGGTATGACTTGTCTACAATCTAGCACCGTAGTAAGAACTGGAATATGAAAGATGAAAAATGGTCTAGATTGCTTACCACCTGCTTGAAAGTAGCACAGGTGCTTACATAGAATGGTAGTTAATGAACTAATGATGACTGCTAATGAAATTGAATATAAAGACGTACGCTTAGTAATGCTTCCTGCAGATGCAATGACCCACAAGCCAGATAGCCTTGCATATTCTTGGAGTCTTTTCTTTCCTCCTGACGGGTAAGTCTTACAGAGTATAATTGAGTACTCGGGGTTTGTTCTACCCTGTTGTAGGTGATAGGAACATGTGGAGCTGACACTTGTGTGTGGAAACCTCCTGGTGGGCTCAGCGAGGATTTCCTTAACGTTGCGGACATAGAGTTATTTGAAACTTCCATCCAAAATGTTTTCCAATGGAAAAACTTATAACCTGTTATGATGGATATAACGGATCATCATGTTAGGGTTTAACTTGTCATTAAATGATTTTATCTCCGCTGAAACTCTGATAACATGGTTATTTTCCGCTGTTATAGACAATAAATACTCTGATGTTGCATGGAAAGTGGTGCAAGAAATGACTTAAGAATGTTATAAGCTTTATTCTCTCATTTGTGATCCTGATAGAAAAATGTGAATTTTCGGGTTCTCCCTTGGGGTGTACTCGACAAAACTGCATAATTTAGTGTCTTCCCTTAAGTACTTTGTGTCTAAAGGAAGACAAGTACTCCTGGAAGGCATTAGATTAGGCGGTTCTTCCACACAAGACAATGTCCCCCTTTTGGTTCTCTTCTTCCCCTCCAAAGGAATCCTTGTCTGAATTTATCCATAACTTTGATGGCCCACGGAGGGAACTCAATGGCCATAACCAGGTACACTAACATAGCAGTGAGCACAAATTGTACCTGAACTCTCCTCCCTGCCCTTGTCATGAGGTCCGCTTTCCAACCAAGCAACTGATCAGCAATCTTATCAATAATGGGCTAGATCTGCGCCTTAGTGAGCCTCTTAAGGGAGAGGGGTAAACCTAAATATTTGTAAGGAAAATCTGATACTGCACAAGGAAGCAGCCTCTAGATGGTGGTCAGTTCCATGTCACCACACCTGATGGGCAAGACATTGCTCTTTTGTAGGTTGGTTTTAAGTCCTGAAGCATCACCAAAAAGATTGAGAATTTCCATTACCAAGTTGATGTCGCCAGCTTCTAGCCTAAGGAACAACACCACATCATTGGTGTCGATGTTTCGAACAGCCGACTAGTAAATTTGTATATTGCGCGTCTGACCCGGATGGTGTGCTAAGAGGACACAAGGATTATAGTGGTTCGAGTCAAATGTCCCTACGTCCAGTTTTGGACTGCTTATGTTACCAGCACTGAGTTTGTAGTAGAGGGTTACAAACTGGCGAGAGAGGAAGGAGCTCCTAAGTCTCTGTGGTTCAATTGTTTGATGCTTCTACTGCTCAATCTATCGGTCGATTGATCTCTCCCTCTAAATGGTGCCCTACCTTCCCTTTTATAGACTAAGGGGAGAGAATAGGATACCAGAGACCGAGAGAAGGGAAGAGGAAAAAAAGAAAGAGAAAAAAGGCTCCCGGGGGTGTGTCGTCCTCCTCTTCGCGTGGGTCCCGCTGACCCTGTAGATCATGGCGGCAGCGGCGTCGCACCGGGGTCTTGTTGGTCGCTGCAGCATACGTGCGGGCGTCGTGCGTCATTCTTGTCTTCCATCCCATCTGAGCGGATGGAATGGTCAAAGGGTCCCCTGACAGAGGCCATACGTGGGGCTGGCGGTACAGTGCCAGTCAACTAACACCGGTCAACTGACGTTGGACGGTGGTCAGGCAGGGAGTTAGCAGCACAGTGCTGGCCTGTTGACGCGATGGGCGACGTGAGTCTCCTAGCATGGCCTGATGCGACTGCCAGTCGCATCAGGACGCGCTCGAGACGTGCTCCTGAGCGTGCGCCTCCACGCCGTAGTGGTTGAAGTGGTTCGGGTCCCACCCTGGGGCCACTGCTTTTGTCCGGTAGTAATTCCGACCCCCAGGGAACCGGCGAGGCGGAAATCTTGCCCTAGGGGCCGGGCGAGATGGAATCCGACCCTCGGGGGTCGAATGAGGCAGAACCCTCCCCGTGGGACCGGACGAGTCGGAGCCCGTGCCCTGGGGTCGGAGTTGTCGCAGCCCACGCCTTGGGGTCGGACGAGGCGGAAACCTCGTCCTCGGAGTCAGAGCCCACGCCTTGGGGTCGAACGAGACGGAAACCTCGTCCTCGGAGTCGGACAAGGCGTGGCCCGGCCCCTAGGGGTCGAACAAGGTCGCTGTTGCGTCCTTAACCATCAGATGAGCCGACGTGACGCTCATTAATCCTTTGGCTCGGATACCCGGGTATAGATATCCGACAATCGGCGTAGAGAGAAATCTTGTGCTACAGTACCCGCCTAGATAGGGGCTGCAGGAGCCCTGCATTGGCTACATGAACAAGTTTGCTCTATAGAAAGAAAGTCATCATGTTGTCATTAATACTAAAGCGACTGTGCATCTCTCTCATTTTCCTTTGAACTGAAGAAGTTGGTTATCTATGTTATTTGGTAATTTATTATCTACCGTGCAGAGCGTCGTCCTTTTGAAGAATGCTGATGGATTATGCTCAAGTGTAGGAAATTCGAGATGAGATATTCAGATGATCCACCCAGTCAATGATGTAAGGTTTCATCAAATAAAGTCGTTTATTTTACCCACGGTTTGTTGCTCCTAAACTTTGGTTTGATGTGTTAATGAGCCTTCCATCAATTCTTTTATTATGCAGGTTTGAGTTCGGATGGATAGCATCATCTTTTTTTTATTCTCCGAATAGCAGCCAATGAGTTCAACATATTGGCACACAGCTCCTAATTCACCAAGGAAGGCCTGAAAGCCCCGTTGCTCCTAATTCAACAAGGAAGGGTTTAGAAGAATTAGGATTTTGTGATTGCACACAGCTCTGTGATTGTGATATAGCATATTGGCAGCACTTTTAGTTGTCTTTTAAATGCTGACCATTGACTATCCTCAGAATAATATTTTCCCCACACATGTTTTTTAGAGTAACCTGAATAGTGGTAATACAACGGGACCTTCCTTGGTCAGCATGGCTTATGGATTTTCAAATACTTCTATTGATCAATGCCTTATCAACTGTCAGGACAAGTAGTTGCTTCAATGTTAGAAGTACAAATTTATGTTGAGGATCTGATGGCTTTTATTCTATTTATTGTGTATGCATTTTTAAATATGTGCACTTGCGTTAAGTTTGTCCTTAATGTAATCCGTAGTGTTAGCACGGGCAATATACTAGTGCTTATGGTTGAACTGATATGTGAGGCCCTATCGATTTGTGACGCCCTATTTGGTTATTAGATTTCTTTACAACCAACGTGGCTTGACAAATTAGAGAAATCTGAGAAGCCACATTTAGATGTCTTTATTATATTCCACTCAAAAAAAAAGATGTCTTTATTATATCCTTTTAATTTAATAAATAATATTTTTCTCACTACTTTCGTAGAATCGTTTCATGAGTTAGCGTTTATAAGGACTTCTTCCAAAAAGCTAGAGCTAAAGCTCCTCAAAAAAAAGAGAACCTCACTCCACCTCCCTTCGTCTACACACACCAATCCCTTGCTTTGGTGTGTACCCCCGAAATTCTTTCACCTATCCCAAATTACCTATCCAATTTCATGAATCTAACTGAATGCCACACCCTCCTTCCCTCGTCATTCTCTGCCTCGTCCTAGCTCCGTGGTGACTAGGATTTTAATATTTTGGTGAAAATTTTTCTTGAAGTTTTGTACTTTAGGGGACCATAAGAAAATTCTGAATTTCATATTATACCAAAACATGTGTTTTATTGTAAATATATGACTCGAGGCTCATATTTTCTATTGTTTATGTCGTAGATTGTTGTGCTCAATAGATGTGTAGTCATAAATCATGATAAATATTTTGTAATCTAAAAGTTTTAGAAAATTATACCTCTTGTGAAAGTCTAAAAATGTTTTCGATGACATTTCGTGAATCTCGGTAACCAAAATTGAAAACCCTGGTGGCGACTTGACAATATTGGAGTTTTATTTTTAGGTCTTGGAGTTGCTCATGTCGTGTATGTGTATGCAACTATGCATATCGCTGGGTATGCTGCTGTCACGCAGTCCCAGCGAGAACAACAAACCGTAACACCACCCTGTCCCGGTTGCCGGTTGGGGTTTGTTCACCATCTGAGCCTGACGTCACGCCACACGCCACGCGCCGTTGACACGGCCGCCGCACGGGCTGCGTCTGCAGCCCTGCACCGCCGGCCGCCACGTGTCCGCGCGCTCCTCCGGCCTCCCCGTCCGTCACTGGACGGGCCACGCGACTGCGCTTCCCGCCGCACGAGCGCAACTGCGCAACGTGCCGTGGGTCCCGCGTGCCAGTGAGCGCGGGAGATGGCTCGGCCGGCCGCCATCTCTAGCCGGCTAGCCCGGTGCTCTCGACTCTGGAGTTCAGGTTCCCAAGAAGCCGCCGGCCAACTACCAAAAACCCTCGTGCCTCCGCGGAATCCAGCCCCCGCACCCCGGTACAGTTCCAGTTCCAGGGTACAAAGTCTGCTGTCAGTTTCTGCAATTGCTCAGATTTTTTTCGCTGTGCTTTGAGGGGAGCGAAGAACACCGCCTGATATTTTTGTTCTTTTCCAGCAATTCAGTGCGGGATTCTGCAGGACTGACCTGATCCCTCCGTGCTCCGACTCGCCTGCTGTTGCTAGGAGCGATCGATTGCCGCCGCAAATTCCACAAAGCTCCTGCAAGAATCAGTCTTTTCGTTCGCGGCAGGATGCGAGGAGTGCGGCGGAGCGCGCGTGGGGAATCGTCCCGGAAGGCGGCGGAGCGGGACCGGGAGGTGGAGCGGTTCACGCTGTGCGGCAAGATGTCCCACCTCACGAGGGCCACGTCGGAGCCGTGCCGCAGGGCTCGCGGCGCCGCTTCGGCGCTCCGGAAGAGGCCCTTCTCGGCGTTCGAGCTGGTGTCGGCGAGGGAGGCCGGCCGCGCGGGCGGCGCCGGGTTCTCCGCGGCCGACCGAGCCTACGTCGGCAGGCAGCACATCCCCACCAAGGGGCCGTGGGGCGTTGACGACGTGGACAGCGAGGCCTACGTCTCGCAGTTCTCCGCTGATGGCTCCTTGCTCATCGCTGGGTTTCGGGTAGGTGGTTGGTCTTGCTGATACAGTGGATGGTTTTGGTCATTGTTGGTTCTTTGTGCTTCTGCTCATGAAAAGTTGAGTAGTGGCTGACGATTCTGTGTGCGGAAATGTGATTATAAGGGAAGCCGCATCAGAGTCTACGACGCCGAGAAAGGGTGGAAGATTCATAAGGATATAAGCTGCAGAATGGTGCACTGGACGATTTCAGACATTGCTCTCTCACCTGACCAACGATTCCTTGTAAGCATCTTGAGCACCAAATTTTCCTTTTCGACTGGATCCTGGACCTCTTACTGCTATTCTGGGAGCACATTTTGCACTGTTCTTGATCCGACTAGAAGATACCTATTTTGATGCAACATCTACCAGGTTAAATTTCCGAAAGCTTCTTCTGAGGCATAATTTTGGTATCAAAATTACAAGGCTTCAGAGCCTTCCACAAATTTAATGGTCTTTGTATATGACTGTGAGTTGGACCTTTGTATTTACAACATGTTCACTGTATCTAGGGCTGCCAATGACCATACTAGCTGGATGCCTGTATTCATACAAATCTCCTAACATTAAACTACTCATTGAGAATTCTAATAGCATGGAAGCTATGGGAACATCAAAATGATTGTGTCTTTAACAATGCTTCTCCATGTGCATTCTTGATCGTGCGGACAGTAGAGGAGGAAGGAAACCTACGGTGTGCAGCCGGGGCTCAGGGCTTCCGTAGGTTTTCTAGAGCGTCTTGTCCTTGTGTTGTGGTCGTTATGTAATTCAAGTGTGGCACGCATGGTCTTAACTCGTAAGTGCTTTGTGATGTTTCTGGTATCTTAGACTCTTAGGTGTGTTGTGTGACTAGTGTTGTACATTTGGTAGCCTTTCTTCTCTTAATGAACTGACACAAAAATAAAGACATCATATATCTGGTCCATACCCTTCTTTCAAACTTACAGTGTCTCTCTCTATAATCATTTATCCCTAGTATGTATTCCTTCTTCAAAATTTACTACATATGGTTGTTGTGATTTGCAATTCCGGCAATTTCTTACATTTTTACAAGAATCTTCACCAGGTACAGGAGATTTTATCGCTATAACGACAACTTTAACTAGGTGTGATGGTTGCTGTTAAGTAGCCAATATGTCTATTTAAAAAAGTTGCAACAATTTATTAGTAGCACTTACTTGACACCAATGTTTATTTCATCTTGCCATAATAAGGTGATTTCAGATTAGTAAGAAAATAGGCACCCAAGCGGACTGCAACTTTGGTGCTCTGGAACATTCCTGTTGTTTTAGTTTACCACTTAAAGTTTATTTTTTAATCAATTTTATATGCACTGCTGCTTTTTCCTGGAAAGGGACCTATCTTGTGGTCTATTTTGTATACAGGGTGTGTTGTTAACTTCACCAAGTCGCGTCTCATGTTTGGCATGCCTAGTTTTTTCATCGATGCATCTGATCACTTTTTGCAGGCCTATGCAAGTTTGTCGCCTACTGTTCACATTGTGAACGTGCAGAGTGCTGGAAAGGAATCACATGCTAATATTACTGTATGCTCTATTCCCAAACCTTTTTGAGCTGTTGTCATCTATTAAAAACTTCAGATTCATTATCGTGCTGTGTTCTTAAAACATCACTGATGTGCTTGTAATCCATGTTCTGCAGGAAATTCATGAGGGATTGGATTTAACTGGTGGTGATGAGGATGAGGACTTTGGAATATTTTCTGTTAAATTCTCAAAAGATGGTAAAGAAATTGTTGTTGGGAACAATGAAAGGTCAATATATGTTTATGACCTTGCAACAAATAAAGTGTCAGCCCGCATCCGTGCTCATAAAGTATGTAACCATCTAATTAACACTATCTTTTTTTTTCTCGAAAAACACAGGAGAACACTATCTTATTTGATATGCATTGTTATATTTGTTTTCCACGTCAGATGGGAAAAAATAAATAGTCGTGTCTGGTGGCCCAAGAATTCCATAGAGTCAATTGGAAGTACTCTCTAATGATGGCATACAATGTTAGTGCCTTATGCAAGAGAGTGATTGCACACTTCAGAAGGAAATATAATAGGACGAAGTGAAACAAAACTAGTCTCAAGTGGAGTCAATTTATGTAGACTAGAGATCAGCAAGCCACAGCCATTGTACAGTTACTGCTTAATCATTTAATAGATTACCTATAAGACAACTTTTTCTTAATTTCATGGTGTGGTTGAAACTTGTGAAAACTTGGAAGTACAAAACTCATATTGCTTGATGATGGAAAAGCCACAGCCATGCTTGAGTTGGGTGGTATAAATTCATGATACGGTTTAATGTCATAGGATTGGAATATGGCAGCTAGAAGTAAATAATATTTATCTCTTGTACGGGTTGTGCTAGGAAAATCATTTTTTGTGATCATTTATTTTCCACTTTTTCTCTAAGGCTGATGTCAATGCTGTTACCTTCGCTGATGAAAGTGGAAATGTGTTGTACTCTGGAAGTGATGATAGTTTCTGTAAGGTTAGTATTGTCTGATTGTTTCTTATTCCTTTTTGCTTTCCTTGGTCTTACTTCATTAGAATCATCTGTTTCATCTAATAGATCATAGGTTAGTGTTGTCTGAATGTTTCTTATTCCTTTTTGCTTTCCTTGGTCTTCATTAGAATCATCTGTTTCATCTAATAGATCATACAACTACCACAAATTTTCTGTATGATAAATAGACCTCAATATGTGATAGGTAAAACATTGCTTTATGGTATGGCTATGAAACTTCTTGAAGCAAACAAGTTTTAATACTTTAAAATGGCAGTTGGAGACATACCATCTAGAACCTAGGAGGTAATTATGAGGAACTACAGCAAAAGCAACTTCAGTGAATTGCCTATTAGATAAAAAAAACTCGACCTGCGGGGGGTTATGACGGCCCCCGGGTTTTCCGTTAAGAAGAAGGATCTTCTCACACAGATCGAGAAAACCCCCGAACCCCCGCCCCCATCCTGACGCAGGAGGTGCCGTCACCCTGTGAGAACCGGGCCGGGGCCTTTCATTGCGCTTTGGCACATGGGGACGGGCGAGGGGATTTTTTTAACCTCAGCCTGAGTCGAACCCAGGACCTGAGGAGTGCCGCTGGGTCACCTAACCGTTTGAGCTAGGCGCCCTTTGGCATTGCCTATTAGATCATCCATATATTTTCTTTTGTGACGATCCGTTCATGTATTCGTCATTAATCATCTATGTATAGAGTTTTACCTTCACTGACTAAATTTTGTGAATTTTAACCCTCAGGTGTGGGACAGACGTTGCCTTTCAGGGGAAAAGTCAGCAGGTACTTTGACAGGTCATTTAGATGGAGTTACATTTATCGATAGCCGTGGTGATGGGCGTTATTTCATCTCCAATTGCAAGGATCAGAGAATCAAACTTTGGGACATCAGGAAAATGTCTTCCGTCGCGAGAGCGTAGGGTCTTGCTTTATAGCCATTTATTATGTAGGATAATTTTGCTACTGGACCCTAAGCTTCTGTGAAATTTGCTATAGGACATTAAAAATTCTTTATTGTAGGACACTGCCTAGTGTCTTCTAGCAAATAATTTTTTTTGACAGTGCCAGGCCGAAATAAAAAGTTTGGACAATGTCTTAGGGCAAAATTATCCTATTATGTAATGTTAATTAAGTTCCATCTCCTTTTTTTGTGGGTACTAATTTCTATATTTTTAATTTGATTCTGTTGATTTCACAGTCGCCCAGTGAGTCTAGTGGACTGGGACTATAGGTGGATGCCATTTCCATCAGAAGCCCACTATGTTAAGCATCCAGATGATCAGTCTGTGGCCACATACAGAGGCCATTCAGTTCTGCGAACGCTTATCCGTTGCTATTTCTCCCCTGTGCACAGGTCAGGAAGGAACCAGCTGATATTTTTATTTATGTCGTCAGCGTACTGGAATTTTCCTTTGAACTGCTTTCAAAAGGTTACATTTGTTAGTGGAAAGTTGACCATTGACTTGAGTAGATTGTGGGATTTGCAATATTATCCTATTGGACAGTTGACATAACTGTAATCTGGATACTAGTATGCAGATTAGGATCGTGAGCCAGATTAAGATCACACATCTAAAACAATTACCAGTGATGAGTTTCTTTCACTCTTCCCTTGTGAGTCAGAGTTGAATAATTCAACAAAAACCATGATGTCTTCTGCTGGTTGCTCCTCTTTAGTCACGAAAGTTCAGTAATTTTATATTACATTTGCACCTTATTAACAGTGACATAAGGTCAACATGGCATATATATCAGCACAAGATTATCAGATACTTAGAAGCACATTTATTTAGTACAAAAATTGAATATCATGCACCAAGTCTATGATGTGCATTTCAATATTTCATAAATTTAGGTGCACTTATTCAGATCATTCAGCTAAGTTTTCTTTGAACATTAGGTATCCAACTTTCGTGTAAGTTTATCATGTAGAAGTCAAATATGCGAACGATGGTTTATCTTGCTTGCTTAGAATAGCATGTTAAGAGGGAACAATAAAAAAAAAAGGTAGACCCTGTGCCGGAGGCTCCCACATGAATGGGGTTTGGGGAAGGGCAAGCTTGGTGCAATGGTGAGAGCTGTCTCACTGAGTCATCAGGTTGTGGGTTCGAAGCAGCCTCTCCGCAGATTTTGCGGGGGGGAGGCTTGCCTCGGTTTTTTCCTTCCCCAGACCCCACTCATGTGGGAGCCTCAGGCACTGAGTCTGCCCTTTAAGAGGGAACAATGTAAATTGAATTTTGGAAATAATTTACTAAAATGATAATATCAATCAAATATTACATGTTATCATCTCTTGGTTTCTAGTGGGCTTGGTTGCTGTAGTCTTTATGCGCAAAGTTTGAGTTTTTTTTTTATCTTTTCATCCATTGCTGTGTTTTCTGTTTCAGCACGGGTCAGAGGTACATATACACAGGATCCAGTGACAAGTCTGTACATATTTATGATGTGGTATGCTGCTTCCATCTTCTCCTTGAATTACTCTTTTTATGTTTTAATTTTGTGGTAAAATTTAATATTTTTCAAATGATAGCCTGCTGAAGTCTGAAGTCTGGTACAGTTTTTGGATATCCAGTTACATTACATCAGCATTGTGTTAACTATCAATTATCAACTACAAACAGTAATATCATGATGATCTCGGTTAGTCCCTGTTGGTAACCAACCATTTTCCCCTAATGTGGTTATGATCATACACACAACTAGATGGAGATTTAGGGGTTCCTTGGTTGACAAATGACAACAATACAGCATTAGCTGCATATCCCATGTGCATCGACACGTTTGATCTTTCAGCATAAATACTCCGTTTGTCCTGGGTCCTTGCTCTGAACCGGCTGAACTTTACTGCTCGTGCAGGTAAGCGGGAAGACTGTCAAGAGGCTTTCGTGGCATGGCTCGATCATCAGAGACTGCACCTGGCATCCATACTACCCAACGCTTGTCAGCTCCTCCTGGGACGGCTATGTTGCCCGCTGGGAGGCATCGGGCGACGACGACGACCCTTCAGTGCTCGTCCACGACGAGAAGAAGGCAACCCCTTACTTCCGGAGATACGCCGATCCCTTCACAGATCCCTTCATGTGAGATGCTTGTTCCTCGTCTGCAAAGAGGTTACACCAAATGGTGGTGAACATGGTGTTTGGTTTGTTGTTTGGGAATTGCAACTGAGCAACATGTACAGTGCCTTTTGGCTCATGTAGTTATATAAGTCGTGCGATAATATGTTGCTTTTAGCTCACAAAAGTAATGCTCAAATCATGTTGTGAAAAAAAATTCCAATAAATTTCTCCATAGGTAGGGGTAAAAACAGAACATGGGATCGAAGCGACTTTCCTCTTTTCTTCCTGGAATTTTGACTGGATTGGAACACACGGGTGTGGATAATACACCACATCAACCGTTGTTGGATTCGGAAATTATCCATTCCTCACCTGGGATAGCATACTGCATCCACGTGTGCGGATAATTACCCATCACATATAAATATCCTTGCCAGTACGATTCGGAAATTATCCATTCCACTTACACAGGTCCGAGCTTCTCTGTGCCATTAATAGTGGTATATTCATCTAACCACGCGAGCCGAGGTATACGAGTACATTCCAGATCCTATGAAACTAGCATCAAAGCGAGATTGTGTAGCTAACAGCCCGCATCAACAGAATCGATATAAACAATATGCCGTCTTACTATCATGTATTCATGTCACATTCGATAATACGTACTAAACAACTCCCAAGATCCATAGCAAAGAAAAGAATTGCCTACAAGGCAATTCACAAGACATTGAAAGGAGAAACATTCCCCTGCCCTACTAGGCACTGAACATGCAAAGGGAGATGTAAAAGCCGTAGAACATGCTCTTTTGCTTATAGCAGGGACTTCCCATCGTTATCAGTTTTAGTAAAGCCTCTTCAATCCCTCTGACTTGCCCTCGATATTGTTGGGGGGCAAGGTTAAGATCACCATATCATCCATCAAATCGGAACTTGACTTCAATACCGATGTTTGCTGCACATGGATGAGTTTGCAGGTTATACATCTTATATCGTAGCATAAAAGTACCATGTTCTAGATGGGTGAACTCAATATCAAAGTTATATGAGGAAGAACTCAATATCAAGTTATATGCGGAAAAACTTAACAGGAACAAGAAAAGCTTCAGATCCACAGTATGAATGTGCATAAGACATTGTCCCTTTAAAACAGTGATAACATAACTTCCTAAAGCAATGTTTTTTTTAGAACATAATGATTTGTGGACAACAAACTTAGGTGAATATCAATCTGTAAGGTTTTATTGAAAATGATCATTCAACTGATAGCAAAAAAAAAAAGGAGTTGCTAGATTGGCCAGGTGCATAAGATATTACTGCAAACCCTGGGAAGACACCACTAAAACCATCAGACAGTCATAAAGGACGTTGAATAAGTATGCAGAAGGGGAGTACTACACAAATGACAATACAAAACAAATGGACACATGCTGAAAGCCATAGTTCGAGAAGGCTATCACAATACGTAAGCCTTCATGTCAGTCAGTATGGCATATTCAAAACTAGTAACCTAAAGTCAACAACTCTTTTGGAGGCAAAACAAAGGCAAACCTTATTCTCTTGCTTGGTGCAAGTATTCCACGTTTCTCAATGCTCTTGTACCGATCCCTCGCAAGATTACAACACCCCTACACGAATTTTGCAGTTAACTACTGCAGAAAAAATAGAGAATCAACAAAACAAGCAGCAGTTGTTACCTTTAGCTTTCTAAGAGAGCCACTAATCTCTTCTGTCAATAGAACTTGAACAGGAGCTGGTTCAAATCTGTAACATTTGGAGTCTTGTGGTTATTAATCACTAATCATAAAACTAAAAAATCAACACATGTACCAAGGACAATAGCTTGATAAAGATTTCTGTGCCACAATGTTCCCCATGATCTAACATCATACCACTACATGTAACTAGTGTGATGATGTGATTTGCAAAGCATCGAGTAGCATTTTCATCATGAATGATTATTGGAAAACTAATTAGTTAACATAGAAATGTACTTGTGTCTGCCCAGACGAGGTGGGCCTGATTTGCGCCTCTCCTCTTTAACCACAGTTCGCCGTATGTGCCTCTTCTCCTTTTCCTTGTCCTCTTTAGCTATCTCATCCATTATATTTGGCAAGCTGCGAAAGTAATGACAGAATTCCGGTTTTGCTAAGTACATTTACAGTAACCTCGATGATCTAAGAACATAACCACCTACCTGTCAATTTCTTTCGAAATATTTTCCATTTTCTTTGCTTCCGCTTCTGCTCTTAACCTCCCCTTCCGGCGAGCTCTTTTGTTCAGTTCTACTCTTGTAACTCTTTTTGTTTTGTTCTTCCTGAAAAGAAATAAACCAAAATTTTAAAATACAATAAGATCTTCAAATATAAATAGGTCACAATAAGAAACATCTTGGCTCCAATACTTTTTGTGAAGGGAATATCTTGAAATTTAAACATTTCTAACAGAATGTTTGGCCAAGAATAAATACGATCCCTCCACAGATCAGATTCCAAAGTTTTATGGTCATTCAGGAACTTCAAACGTTAATTCTAAAGTTTAGTTAATCGCTCAAAGAGCATACCTTGTTTTCTGCATAGATCTCCAAAATACTAAAATAACAACACTTTGCAGAACATATAAAAAACTATGCAAAAGAAAAACTGATATAAAATTTTTACAACCATGATTACCATGCCATACCCATGAAAGCTTTGATGATGGATGTACCATGTACCAAAGTCAAAATTTGGCAGCACAACTACTGTATCTCATTAACACTTTCCAAGACCATGATATATTTTGGGCTATATAGAAAGTCAAACTATTCAACCAAGGGAACCAATATTTTCAAAATTAAGTTTGGGCACATGATCATATCTGCAGATTTGTCAAGATTTTTTAATATTACTACTTTACAGGCTTCTGGTAAACATATTGCAATGCAACCAGCATCCAAGGTACATTATGTGTGCAGTATTATCTATTTTGCCAAAACAATACCAATGTCACATAATGAGGTACTGCCATAGATTTTCGGGTCTAACCTTTGTCCAACCGAAGTATCAGCATCCTGATCTCCATCATCTTCTGCAGCATCTTCATCTCCATCATCAGCATCAAGAAAGAATTTCTGCAAGCCACGTAAATGGTTAGTCAAACACCGTGGTGAAAAATATTTAAGCACACGTTAATAAATAAGATGTCAAACAAGTCTTTCAAAGGTAAACATCTGAAGCAACCTGAACATAAGAAACACATTTTTATGCTATATGTTAATGGACATGCTTTTTTACCCTAGTGAATCACTAGAAACATTTATATAAATATGGATTTCTGCATCCCTATGAAAAGAAAATCAACAGATGCAACCAAATAGGCATGCAGTTAAAATCACAAACAGGAGCTTCTGCTCTTCTTGTAGGACAGGGCAATGTCCGAATTGCAAAATAGCTGTATAAGCGTCAGAGATAAAACATACATCTTCTTCAGTTATAGCTTCACCAGGAACTATGAGTGGTACAGGTGCTGGCCCCAACTCTTTCATGTACTCTTTACGCTTTTCGTCAGCTACAGCTTGAGCAAGAGAGTCCTACAAATACCAACACAAACTGCATAAGACAAATGAATTCACTTTTAACAAACGCAACAGCAAGGTCCTCCTGTTAGGCTGTTACTGTCATCAATGAAAAATACAGGAGTATCTACTAGCAATTTTTTACTCAGGAATAGAGTACATTGCCCATATCAGGTACTTCTGAAAACAAATGTTAAGTGTTAACACATACTTGATGCGCTTCCAATGGAGGATTAAATGAACATCCTGCAGGCTCAACTTCAACAGCAGGAATAACTGATGTAGTAGATCTCTGCAAGTAGAAATACAAAAACACGCATTTAGTTTGACCATATAAAAAATTGCAGATGCCACCAAACTCAGCATTACAAAAACAGAGATCGGTATGCCATGCATAGAACACCGTATACTTTGCAAATGCAAATTCATGTGCTTTTAGATACAAACAGTAGTGTGTATTAATGAGACTTCCATCACCTTTTTGGCCTTGGAATCACCTTTACCATCCACAGCCCAGATGTCAAAGTTCTTTATTACAGAATCATCTTCCTGTGGAAAAAAAAAACAAACAATCCCGTCACTTAGCAAGCAGCACAAATAAACTGAAAACAAGAGAATCATTTTTATATGGTAGATACCATAGGGACATTTTTCTCTCCCTGTGTATCCCGCAAATCCTTCTTTTTTGCCTTCTTCTTATCCTTCTTGCTCACCACAGAAGATGGGATTGGCTGCACAAACGGATTCCGCTTCAACAAACTCTCATGGTAAAGAACCTTCTCCCTCTTCTTCTCAATCTTCCTTTTAACAGGAATATCTGAAAACAGTAACCAAAATTTCAGCTATGGTAGGGCATGAATTAGCCCGAAAAGTATTAAGTTATAGCTGTGGCAACAGAAACAGTAATCAAGTAGATATGCTTTAAACTCCACTCCTAAGCTACTATGACAATTACATCACTGATATGAACCACCTAGTTATGAGGATCAAAGGGACCTGTTTAAGTATTACACACAAGGGTCTAGAATTTGAAGATTGACTAGTTATCATAGTATCATAAACAGATACTGTGCAATTCGGTAGCACAACAGACACATCGATCATCATGAATTCTTTGGATGTGTCACTCTAGCAAAGAAGTAACGTTTACCATGTTGCATCCCAAAAAGAAATTGAACTTTATACTCTATCAGAATTTACCACGGTAGTTTTGTAACTGAAACCAAGCGGGAGGGGAAGAAGTTAGTGGTGGCGTAAGGGACGGAGGTGACCTTTGGTGGCTGTGTCCGAGGCGCCGGCGGCGAAAGTGGACGCGGAGGCGGCGGGCTTGTCGACAAAGAAGAGTGAGTCGGAAGGAAGGGAAGGGATGGCGGCGGCGCCCGCGTGGGCATCGCGCGTCTGCTTCTCGAAGAAGTCGTCGATGTCGTCGGTGCGGATGTTGGCGCGCCACGCCTTCTTCCCCTTCCGCGAGCCCTTGGACGCCTTCCCCATCACCGCGGCCGCTCTCCTTCACGCGCGCGCGGTGGAGGTCCGCAGGGAAGGGAAGCCGCCGGTAGGGGGGAAGGCCTGGGAAGGAGGAGGCGGGGGAGGGAGAGGGAGAGGGGAGGTGACTATGGTGAGGGGTTCTGGTGGGAAGCTAGGGTTTCTGCGGCCTCGGTGGCTCACTGTCAGGTGGGGTCACAATAATGCTAGTTCCAAAGCAGATGGTTAGCGGTATTTTTGGGCGAACGAATAATATTTTTCTCTCACAGTAAATCAGCATAAACATCGACATAGCATTACTGCATAGTATATTGTTGTATATATATGAATTTGACTTGCATGTTATTTTATTATATCAAATTTGATAAAACTTAATAACCTAGTAGAAGAAAAACCAATAAAATATTTGATTCATTATAGAGGAAAAGATGATGAAACAAAGTATTGCACATGATAGAGATTATATGGATATTTTTTTAATTAATAAGGGATGACATAGATTTAGTGGGGAATGATGTGGACACTTTTGAAAGCCCTAGTTTGGTTTTGGATAATTGATGAAACCCTAGGACTAACCTTTGATCTAAGTGTGTGAATTAAATAAGGTAGTCCAATCCAAGTGGTGGAGCTAGATGATGGTCATAGTGAAGGTGATAGCCACAAAAGAGATGATCAAATGCTCTAATTTGAAAAAGAAGAAAGAGAAAAATAAAAACATATGGAGATCAAGGTAAAGATATAAATAGAGATTTTGTTTTAGTGATCAAGACACTAGAGAGGGTTTGATAACGTTTAGAATTGATAGCCGTACTATCAAGAGGGAAAATCTTTGGCTAAGCGGTTATCGAGTGCCACTAGGTGACATGATTCTTGCATATACATTTAGGAACCTAGTATGCTAACCTTGACCCTTGTAAAATGCTTTGAAAAATGCTAACACACGAGCGCACAAGTTCTACACTTTGTGCTTAGCAAATTGAAAACAAGGGTGAAGAGTTTGAGGAGATAGAAAAAAAGGAGATATAAGTCAGTGGTCGGACTCTGACGTTGCGCGTCCGGTCAATGCTAGGGTTGTGGCCGAGGGGGCCAAGCTCTGATCAGACCCTGCGCGCTATCGCGGTCAGACCCGGGGTGGAGCGTCCGATCATCACGCGCACAAAGGGTGAGGCTCGGCCTCGCGATCGGACCCTGGAAGGAGTCAGAGACCAAACGCGCAGGGGGCGCGTCAGGTCGATGATGACGTACGCTGACGTAGGCACGTTGAGCACGCGAAGTGAAGACCGAACTCACCAGCGCATCCGGTCACCTAGGACCTGACGCGTCCGATCGGGAATTCGTGCTCTGGACCCTTACTGGACTTGATCTAACACTAGGGCGCTCTAGGTCAGGTCAGGCAGAGAGACGCGTCCGGTCATTGACTGGCTCGCGTGCGTAGAGGCGGTAACGGTCGAATTTGAATGGAGACGACGTGGCATGCACGGAGTGGCTCGGGGGTGCGATCAGATTCAGCCGACCAGACATAGGGCAGTGTCCGATCAGTACGTCTGGTGCCCCTTCGACAACCCAACGGCTCTTTGAGCCAAGGGGTCTATAAATAGATTGTGGCCGACTTGGGGCCGTCTCTCTTGGCACTTTGACATACTTGACATCCTTGTGAGCCTAAGCAAACATCTCACACTCATTTCTATCATTGATTCATCATCATAGTGAGATTGTGAGTGATTCCAAGTGCATTTGCTTGAGTGATTGCATCTAGTGGCATTTGGGGATCGTTGTGGCTGCGGATTTCTTGTTTCTCTTGGTGGTTGCTGCCACCTAGAAGGGTTGGAGCAGCGGAGGAGCATCGGCTCAAGTTAGTGATTGTTCGTGGCCGTCTACCGATGATTGTGAGGGGTCTTGTGCCTTTTCCGGTGGAGCGTCAAAGGCAACTCTAGTAAATTGCTCGTGTCATTGAGTTACCTCACTTGTGGGTAGGTTCTTGTGGTACCATTTGTTGGCTAAGTGTGTGATATCTATTAGCCGCCAAACCACCAAGTGTTGGTCGACACAACGAGGACTAGCGTACCGGCAAGCACGTGAACCTCGGGAGAAAAATTGTGTGTCATCTTGTGATTGGATTTCTTCCAGTGATTGGTTGGCACTCATATTGTGATTGTTCATTCCTCGACATGGCGGTATAATCATCGTACTCACTCCTTTACATTCCTTACAAACTAGTTGTGTAGTAAGCTCTTTAGTATAGCTAGTTTTAAGAGCTTGCTTGCTAGTTTAGTTTTACCTAGTGGAGCTCTTTAGTGTAGCCTTGTTAAGAGCTCTTAGTGAGTAGTGACTTAGCTTTTGTTGTGTGTCTAGTTATTATAGCAACTAGAATTAGTTGGATATGTGGCTTGCAACCCTTTAGAGCTAGAGCAAGTTTGCATTTAGCCGTTTAGTTTACTAACAAATTGCTCTAGTGGATTTGTAGAGATTTTTATAGACTACTCACCCCTCAAACCATATTAGGACCTTTCAAGCTTTCACGAATAGATAGAACATCTCGTGGGTCACTTATTGGGAAATGACGTGGACATCTTACATGAAGAGAAAAATCATTTAGGGATGATATGAACTTAGTGGAGAATGATGTGGACACCTTATATGATGAGATAGAACATCTAGTGGGTCACTTAGTGGGAAATGATATTAACACCTTGCATAAAGAGAAAAATCAACTAGTAGGGTTTAGCTTCATAAGAGTATATAGATATAGATTGTGACCCTCTCATCAAAAAGTAGTCAATAAATAAAATTGCATCTATAAGAAAGTTTTGATTTTTTTAGTGTTATACAAATTCACAAGGGCTATGCTAGCGTCTGGACGTCCGAACGGACCCGCATGTCCGAACACCCACGCATGCTGCTGCGCCTACCCATGTGGAGCTACGCCTGATGTGGTAGAACCGCCCAAAATAATGTACTTACAGAGACGTTCATCTTTCACCAGACACTAAGCACCCCGTAAGCAAGCTACAACAGACGGTTTCCATCGGGCACACCCCAAGGAAGAGCGCGAAAGATCCACATTTTTCCCCAAGGATCTAATAATGAGAACGAGTTACAATACTTAATCCATTTCATACATCCATCGTTCTTAAAAATTACATTATTACATTTTCAAAGTCAGAGTGCGGAACATTAAACAACGGAATTAAAAAGAAACATCTATCGATAATGAACAGAGATCCATCTATGCCCACCAGAAGAATCCTTCACACAACGATACTCCTCGAGCATTACCTGCAATAGGGGTAAATAAACCCTGAGTACACAATGTACTCGCAAGACTTATCCTACTGGTGGGAATAATTTCCCAACTCTAAGGAATATGATAAGCTTTATGATTTGTTGATTTCCTTTTTGCAGAAAGCAATACTAATAGTGAGTCCTTATGTTATTATTAACAACCATGATTAATTTATTATCTAGCCATTCTATGTAAGCACATGTTCTACTTTAAAGCAAGAGTTGCGCAATCAATTCTATTTCATCACCTTTCATCTTTCAGTTCTTACTACGGTGCTAGACACAAAACAAGCCATACCGGATCACCCGGTGATTCGTGAATCAATACTCCCAACTGGGTACCTTGAAAACACACGCCCCGCTTGTACCCCAGGCACAAGCAAGACCAACTCATCACCCTCCTATCACGAGGTCTAAGTCCCCATCCAAACTTGGACTCCAAGCCCCGCTCCTGAGTCCCGGACTCAGTGCGGTGCAAGGACCTCCACCATTTCCGCCTCCAATCAGTAGGTCCAGAAAGAGCCGGAACCCACAACAAGAGAGCAACAAGTCTTCTCTGTGCCCATACTCAAGTATGTGCTCAGGATAATAAATCAGTGACTTGCCTCAAGACTATGGAATGGCCGGTCCTTAATCGACATAGACAGGAAAAAGTGTAACCAAGCTATGCCCTGTTGGCCGCAGGACACAACCTTTTACACCCACCAATACACAAACCATATCCCTGTCCGGTCACCATTTTTCCTTTCCACCATTTATCATGAGTGATCATAATTATCACCTATTGCGAGTAACGGCAGGTTACTCATGCTACCGAAATCCTGAGCATAACAGCTACTTGACCTGTACTAGTAGGACTCGTAGGCAGATATATTTATGCATGTAGTTTCCATAAAATGCCTGTAACGTAAATGCACATCATATATAGGCCCCGTTCGCTGGTCTGAAACTTGGCTGAAAAACACTGTGCCGGCTAAATTATTGTGAGAGAAAAATACTGTTCAACTGGTTCGATGAACAGTAAACTGAGAGGGGGAGCAGCCAGCTGGCTGGTCAAACCAGACCAGCGAACTGCCCCATATTCTATAATCATTCAAAATTAGGGGTTATGCACCGGGGCTTGCCTTAGACAGGCGGTAGGTCAACAAAGTCAGCAACGAACGGCTCTGGGGCTTCCTCCTGCATGAGGATCTCCTCCTCGTACTCCTCAATGACCTCCTCGTAGTCCTGTTCGTCCGTGGGCACGAACTCTACCAACTCGTGATCTACAAGCATAAAATAATGATGTAACATTTAGTAATACGGCAACAACAACTCTTAAAATAAAATACATCTATCAAGCTACTAAGCTAGTTCTACCGACTAAGGTGCTAAGTTACCTGCTATTACCACAAACAAGTATGAAGCATAATAATCTAATGATCCCACTGTATATATGATAAAACAAGGGTACTAGCTACTCTATTTATCAACCTACTCTAGGGCTACAAAAATTACAGTGAGTATATAATAATCTAATGATCCTGCTGTAAATATTTCATACCTAAAGCTACCATCAATTTGCCACAAGAATTCCTATAAATATTAAGCTAAATAATACTAAGCTCTCTAAATTGAATTTATGAACCTATCGTTATCATAGCTAACTATAAACTAATTACACCAACAGATATATAGCATTTTTGTCAACCTAACAAATTTGGTTTTACTATTTTTGGACATCTACAGAATTTAGTATCATTTTTCAAAGTTCAGCTCAAAACTAAATTGAATAAACATTCATAACTTCACTGGAAATTGGAAAACCTAATTCTACTGATGGGCCCAAAACGCGAGCGGCTCGGCCCAGTTCGGCGCAACGCGCGCGCGCAACGCACGGCACGGCCCACGTGGGGGCATGGCCTAGTCGGCGTGAAGACGACCCGTGACGGGGAGGACCCGCGCGCGCCGGCCATCTTGAGAAAACGCCCTCGGCCTACTCAATAATCACGCGATCACTAAGAGCACTATTCCACCAGTCTGCTATCTTACAACTAAGCCCCTCCCTCTTTCCATCTTTACCACGGCCATACCCTTAGCCCCCCACGCGCATCGGCGCAGCGGCTCTAGCACCGGGTGGTTATGCCAGCCAGGCCAGCCCTTCCCTGCCCTATCTACGGAGCTGATACCTTCCTATGCTTGAACGCGAAGCACTGGGCGAAGGAAGCACGAGATGGGACGCCGTAGTAAAGCCGGACCACGGTGGCGGAGCTCCTACACTGAAAATGATGACGTTTCGGTGAGGTACAACAACGCTAGAGAAATTGGGGTAGCTAGTGAGCTCAAGGGACTCACCATGGACACAGACAAGGGGGTGGTTCGACCAGAGGCGGCCCGAGCTGAGCTGGTCACGTGCGCACGGACGGTGCGGTGGTGCATGGTGGTGGCAAGGCTGCATCAGGGGAGGCTAGGCGGTGGTAGCGACTTGGCAAGGGTGTGTAGGATGACGAGCAGGTGGAGGCAAAGTTAGCGGTGCAACGAATTGATGCGAGCAGCACTGGATTGGGGGCTCACCGTCGACGCGTGCCGAGACGGACTTATTGACTCGGCGGGAAGGAAACTCCAAATTGGAGCATGGCACGATGAGACTCACTGCAAGATGGGGTCGGGTGGTTGGCTGACTACACGACGGAGCTACGGACGGGGTTAACTGGACTGAGGTGCCTCCATTGACCCAAATTGAGAGGAGCGGGTCCGGTGACCACGGCGACAGAGGAATAGGGGAGGATAGGCGTGGCTTGACTTGTCGCTGTCATGGCAGGACGTGGCTGTCAACTCAGTTCACAAACACGCATGGGCTACAGGGTGATGGGGAAATGACCAACGCGCTCAGGATGGTGGGCCGCACAACCATAAACCACAAATCGACGACGGCGGCTCGGCCCTGCGCGCCGCAGTGGATGGCATCGGTCTGAGGAGGTAGCAGTGTAGCATCGTCGAGCGCCAATGTGACGACAAGGTAGGCGGGGCAAGGCGACGTGTGGGCAGGGCCAAGTGTGTCCATGCGTGCACGGTACCGCACATGCGACGGTGGTGGCAGAGCGCACGCGGTGACTTCACACAAGCGGCCGTGGCTAGCAATAGCGTGGTATCGCGACGCACGGAGTCAGCGACATGGTGAAGCGACGGTAGCGGGTTGGCCAGAGCAGCGGGCCCGCGACGACGGCGGTGGTGGCCGAGCGGCTAGGCCGCCAGCGCAACGCAACTCGTGCGTTCTTCTCGTGCCAGGGCGCGGCAACGGCGGTGCGGGCCCGCGCGGCGGCGCGCGTGTGCGTGTGTGAGTTGCATGCCAGCGCAGGCCAGTGCCGCGCGCCAAGCCGAACCGAAGCCTGGTGACCGCGGCCAGACGTTGCACCCGCTCAAGGATGTGTCTTGCACGTTTTTTAAAGCGTCCTAAAAACCCACCTCAAAGCTTCAATTGCTAAACCAACTATTTTACGCTCGAGATGGCATGTCAAGCTACTAAAACAAACCCTAAAACTATGCCACTACTTTGCCCGATTCTTCTATGAAAATTGCCGAACTTAGCTTCGTCAAGGCGTTGTCTGACTTAGGAATTTCGGCTGTCTCAAACGGTTTCACGTCGAATGCGATTTCCAAGCTATTAAATAAGCTAGCTAGCGAATCCCGCTCTCGACCGTAAATATTTCATCGTCACCTACAAAGCTTACACTACAAACTTTACTAAAGTTTTGTATAGGCATTCTATAGCATTCTCGTTCAATAAAAATTCGTTTAGAACACTATGTGATACAACCCACATGGAATATAACATTCGTTTCGTGTTTCCGATGAACGTTTCAAGTTACGTATATTGCTTTACACCCTATATTACATACATTTACACATAAGTATGATGCTCATGCAGTGTTTTAGCAAAAGACTGTATAGTGTAACATCGAGGGTGTTACACCTGATGCGCCCTATCTCTTGCTTTTCTTAGGGAACCGTGCCTCCTCTCCTCCAGCTGTTGCCGCACCCCACGCCTCCTCCTACCCGCCCAGCTGCATACGAGAGAGAGGGAACACAGCGCGCATACCCTAATGCGAGTGAGAGGGAACACGGCGCGTGTACCCCAATAGGAGGGAGAGAGAGCACAACGCGCGTGCCCCAATGCAAGAGACTCCAGCTGCATGCATGCGAGAGAGAGCACAGCGCGCGTGCCCCAATGTGAGAGAGGGGGAGGGAGCACACGCATGCATATGTGTTGAGCCAGCTGCACGCTCAACCATGGGGGACCACGCCTAGTGGTGCAGGGGCGCCTGGTGCAGCGCGTGCTTGCTCACGAGTCGGAGCATGTGGGGAGCAGCACCTGTTGCAACACTCAAAACAAGGTGAAACAACTAAAACATACGTTTGCAACATATGTGTATAACTACTGTAACATATGCAATATTCAGATAAAAACACTTGCAACATACGTCTGAAATATGTGAACTTTGGAATATACACTTGCAACATACGTGTATAGCCACTACAACATATGCAACATCCTGATGAGAACATACAACATCTAGATGAAATAGCTGAAACATTTGAAAAACACAATTGCAATATACGTGTATAGCTATTGTAACATATGCAACATCCAGATAAAACATATGAAACATACACCTGAAACACATACGTAGTGCGCGGAGCTCGATGCCCACAGTCACTCATCACGAGAGCAGCAAATGACGCATTAAGATGTGGGCCCGTGCTCCTCTCACAAACTCACAGGGCTAGTCATTCTCTCTCTGGTCACTGCACACTCTCTGGTCACGCCGCGCATGCATGGGCCCATGCGCCGCATGCATCCCACGGCGAGCGAGTGGGCGCACGTGCTCCCAAGCGCTGACCAGCAGAAAAGGACAGGTGCGGTCCCCGTCTAATTGCAACTCCAAGCATTACCAAATTCACAATGGAAATTTTTACATTACTCTGACAGACTTTCCTTATTTCCACATGAATTTATATTTTGATGTAACACCTCCCCAAGAAAATTGTTTTTTATTGGAAAGAGAGCAATTTGCGTCCAATTTTCACACATTTTGCATAGTTGTTGGCTGAAGCTACATCGAATCACAATGAGTTTGTTTTGGCTTTCCAATAAACATATACATCAAGCACAAATCTGACTATAAATTTCTAGTATAATATCTACACCATTCGTTCCAAATTATAAGACATTTTGGACGTTTAAGGTACATAGATTTTATTATATATTGACAACATATACTCCTTTCATTCCAAATTATAAGTCGCTTAACTTTTTTGATTCATCTATTTTGTTATGTATGTAAACATATTGTTATATCTAGAGACATAGTAAAATAAATATACCAAAAAAGTCAAAGCGACTTATAATTTGAAACGGAAAAAGTATGTAGGTGCATATAGCAAAACTTATATATATATATATATATATATATATATATATAGAAAACCATAACGTCTTACGATTTACAACGGAGAGTACTTGTTTTACTCTTCCATTTTGAGGACCTGACACCAAAAAGTACCAACGGTTTTGTTCGCCAATACACCAATAAAACCTATTCGCCAAATACACCAATAAAACCTGGCCACAAAGTCTTTGATTTAACCAAAAAAAAATGTAGGCACGGCACGATAGCAGAATTGAAGTAACCAACCAACCACCACCGGTTATTTACCAACAAATAAGCAACCCCCAATTTCGGTTTGATGTGTAACGAAATTAATATTTAAAGGAGTTACAAATTCATGCCAACAAGTCCATACAGTATACTATAGTAATAGTAATGATCCTAATAAAGTTCATAAGCTTGAATGTACTTCTCAGTTGTAGTAGACCTGCTACCTAGTCTACAGGGGCACACTACGATGTTGAAGGACTCCATCAAACAAACAGGTCGAGGCCATAACATTCATGTATGCTGATATTAGAATGATGGGCGCCCTTTCGAGTCCGACGACGAACTGAAGTGGCTTGACCTTCTTCTTCCAAGGGTATTCCATGTGAAACTGTTTCCCTTCTGTAAGCCGCTAGTAATGACTTCGTCTTCGCCATCATCTTCAGTCTCGTCCTTGCTGTATGATGAAACTCCAGCCCTACCTTTGTCAGGTGTCCACGTTGGGTTGCTCGCACCATCTGCGCTGTTTTCTACAGACCTAGGCCTTTTCCTCCTTTCACTAAACTCAACTTGGATGTCAGAGGAGTAGGCAGTCCTCTTCGGCCTTGGAGTCGCCTTTTGAATGTCTTCAAATCCCTCATCAGATTTCATCCACTGATCACCAAAAGAGTCCGAATAGACAACCTCCTTTCTACGTCGCTTCGCACCAACCATTATATTCTGGAATTCATCTGCCACGGTTCTCTTGGGTAAATCATTATTGTTGGCAAACACCCAATCTGGAACCTCATTCCCATCCATAAGTCTAGATTTGTAGTTTTCTCTAAGCCTCCTCTCTTCATCCATCTTCTCAAACAACCAGAATTCTTCATCGGTTCGTGCAGCCAAACGATTTATCTCACGCTCACTGGGGATATCTGTTCCTAGCGAGCTTGTCCCCCTCCTGAGGATCTCCTGCAGCAATGCTCGTCTGTCCTGTGCTGTAGCGGGAATGAACATGAAAATATGTCATGCGAGTTCCAGTACAAAGTCTACAGGTAGTAGGCAAAAATTAAATAAATAGGAATTAGAGTATTCAAACTCACCTGTGGAAGTTGTGTTAAACAACCCAGCCTGGATAACTTTTGCATCAATACCCATCTTTTGTTTTGCACGGTCCAGGATCTCTTCTTCAATTGAGCCAACACTAACCAGAACAAATACACGCACTTCATTCTTCTGCCCTATACGATGGGCACGGTCTTCAGCTTGTTGGTCCATTTGAGGGTTCCAGTCACTATCAAAGATAATGACAGTGTCCGCTGTCTGCAAGTTCAACCCAAGGCCTCCAGCACGTGTGCTGAGGAGAAACATGAAATATTCTGAATCCTTCTTATTAAAATCTGCCAGTAACCTCCCTCGTTCTTCAGTCTTCGTGGATCCATCAAGCCTCATGTACTTGAAATTGTACATTTGCAAATATACTTCTAAAACATCAAGCAGTTTCGTCATTTGAGAGAAAAGTAGAACCCTGTGACCAGCTCTCTGCAGTTTCGGAAGTAGACGATCAAGCAATTCAAACTTCCCTGATGCTCTAACAATTTCCTCCCGCTGGTACATGTTATAGTGCTCTACAAATAGGTAGGGGTGGTTGCAACATTTCCTAAGTTGCATTGACAGATTTTGCAGAGCCTTTGATCTGAGCCCTGCACACACACACAAATATAACAATATAAGCACATTACTAACACAAACACAAGGAAAATGGAAGTGCAAGACTAACACAACAATAAGATAATGTACTAAATAAACTAGCAATACAGATAAATCCAAATTGCAGTAACATTAAAGTAGCTTTATACTCCATCAAGGTCTGGAAAAGAATTACAAATTTTATTTCACTCAGAAATTAATTCTCTAGAGGGGAAAGGATTAGTAATACTAGAAGGACATACCATATCCTAGCGCAACCTTTTCCCTGCTTGTGACTTGTTCGTAGTATGCTTTTTGCCAAGCAGACATGTCACACTTGAGAATTACTTGTGTTTTCACAGGGAGATATTTTTCCACTTCATCTTTCTTCCTCCTCAGCAAAAATGGACGCAAAACCTGGGCAAAAAGAAAGGGAGCAACAAATAAATCTAGATGTTCCCAAATATAAAATTGACTGTCAGCTTTCTTTGCATCCGTTATGTGCTACCAACTCACATTCTCACTACATGGTTGCAGTCAACCAAAAGTATGAGGATGCAAGTGGAGGATCACGTGGCAACATCTAAGGGGGTTAAAAGAATTGAATGACTGGAGGGCATATATCAGAGGCAGCATTACTCACTTGATGCAAACGATGTATGATTAGTAGCTGTTCCTCATCATTAAGACTAACATCACATGCAAATGGTGCATTAAACCATTCCTCAAAATTCTGAGATGAATTAAAAATATTGGGCAGAATAAAGTTAAGCAAAGACCACAGTTCTTGTAGGCTATTTTGGATTGGAGTGCCAGTTAAAAGTAGTCTGCGGCGGATCTGATATCTGTAAATCAAGTATCAGCAATCTGTAAGTATTGTTGCCAAATGGCCCAAATAAACTAATTTGCTGTCTTTAAAGAAAAAAAATAAGTAGGTTAATAGCAATCACTAAATCAATGAAGAATGAACAAGGTAAAATGGAAAAATGAGAGTAAGCAACTAGCGATGACAAGAGAATAGTAATGAAAAATGAATAAAAAAATAGTCACGATCATATGAGTTACTGATAGAGAGTTAAGCCAACAGGCTTTTGGATTGTAGAGTGTTTACATATATAGGGATTACAGGAGGGTGGCCCAAGGGGCCAGCCGAGTGTGAAGGGGCCTGTCCAGCCAAGCAGGTGGCACAGGAAGCTAGGGGATTACATAAAGGAGTAATTAATTCTAACAGTTACACTCCCGCAAAAACTTTGTTGTATATATTTGGTAAATTTGGTATATAATACCTAAAAGAATGATTACCATTAAAGGTGGTAATTAATCCCAGCATTTAAATAATATACAATATCATGGCAATTCAATACTAACCAATTATGAGCCAGCACCAAACACTACTTGATCAGTATAAAGACTTGTTTACTATGTTCCCATTATTTTTTATTATCAGGGATAACCTTCTTCAGAAAAGGCAAAAGGTATGTCAATGTGATAACCTGCCAAGACAAGGCATTTAATATCCATCTGTGAATCCGTGAAATGCTACAAGGTCTAGACCCATTGTCACCACATATGAACAAAAGTTATGTGGAAGCTGTCTGACAAAACTAGTTTAATGATTGATCAAGAAGATTCACAAGGTTCTGCGGCCTAGTTCTAAATATGAAACTTGAAGCTGTTCAGTTGCTGGTATTTCAAGTGTCAATGTGTCAACTATCAAAAAGCCATTACTGGCAATCAGAGCCTCATACAATATTATTAAGTGCATCCATGTCATCCAAAGCCTTAAGACAGTAAAAAGGATTATGAATAAAGTGTATACCCCGAAACTAGTGTGCGAGCAAGAGCGCATTCATGATTTTTCAGACGATGGCCTTCATCAACAATCAAATAATGCCAGTGAACTTTCTTTAGGAACTTCTTATCTTTCAGTATCAAGTCATAATGCGTGAGCAAAACATTAAATTGCAATCCATCAAAATTCTTTTCCCTTAAGAGCTTCCTCTCTTCTGGACGACCATCATACAGAATTGTCCCAATGCTGCAACAAACAAAACCATGTTGACTTAGGGACTTAGGGTGGCTCTAGTATATAGTGCAATGGAATGTACTCGCAAAATTTTGATCATACACACTCCAGTGAAACATTACCTGGGAGCCCATGTTTTGAATTCATTAGACCAATTTGGTAATACTGCTTTTGGAGCAATTATCAAGTATGGTCCTGCAACCTCCTTCTTTTCCAACAGATAAGCGATCAAAGCTATGGTCTGAATTGTTTTACCCAGACCCATTTCATCAGCCAGAATGCCGTTCAAATTGTTGTTAAACAAAGAAAGCATCCATTGGAGACCCTCCAGTTGATATGGCCTCAATTCCCCACCTTCGAGAGCTGATGGTTGCTCTGTTACCTGTAGTGCAAAGAACACAAGAGAAACATTAGAGTTGCTACCTCACCAGAAGTACACAGGATCACAGATTACACTATGATTTTGCAAAAAAAGGGCAAAGGTCAAATTAATGAACAAAGGAGCATAAATTCAACTGAGGAAGACAAATGGAATCAATTAACACTTGAAGTTTTCTATTGTTAAGCAATAATTCACATAAATCAGCACATTATCTACTAGTAGCAATGCTCCCTCTGCTGTATTCCCTAACATTACCTACTATCATAAGGGATACAACTGAAGCAAGCACCAGTGCATCGCAAGAGAACACAAAAGCTGTTTGATAATTACGGATATGGTCACAAAACTGCATTCATTCTAAAAACTGTCGAAGCCAACACAACCAACAATCTGTCACGCAATAAGTTCCATATATAGCTAGTGAAATTTTGCTATACCTTTTCTTCAATGGAATGGACAGTAAAATCAAGTCTACGACCTGCATTGAATTTACTTTCATCTGCAGGGCCAGCAAAGTCTGCATCATCATCTGAAGGAGACTCCCCAGGTGATTCACTCTTGACACCTGAGATTTGAGAACAATCCTCAGACTCTGACCCTTTTGGCACTTCACTCCCTTCTGGCTGACTAACATGCTCAGCATCTTTTTGTCGCTGTACAGCTTTTCCAATTCCTTCAAGAAGCTCATTTGTTTTGTCGAGGAGCATTTTCAGACGTTCATTCTTGCTCTCCTCGACCATCTTCATATATGCTTCTTGATCACCAATTTTCAGAAGATTCAACCTATTTTTCTCTTGCCGTGAGATACGTTGACGTGCCCGAACATGCCATGCCTACAATTGGCAAGTGAAAAAGGCTCTCAGGCACTAAAGTGGCACATCCAGAACATGAGTATCTATAGGATAAAATCATATTACACAGGAATGTGGTTTACTGTGGAAAAAATGCAACGATGTGCTAACAAAGTAGAAATTCGAAAACAAGATGGTGCACATACTTTCTAAATATTTCAATTTTGTTCTCAGGATTAAAATATTAATTATGTTGAAATTTGCACCTTCCATAATCACAAGTGGCAAGCTAAAGTCTACTGATGAGGTTAGACAGAGAGCTGGTTTAGACTGTGGGCCTTAGCCTTGTGGATGTGAAGGACATAGGACCATGCCGCATCTATAGATTGATTTGGTGTTAGGCAAGGATCTCTGTGATTGGTGCTATTTCTATAAACCAAAACCCTAGAGCATCCTTGCCTATATAATCCTGTACTCTATTCCCTCAATCAATCTATTATTTGCCGCCTATTATCCTAACTACAACATTTCAGATAGATAAACAGATACAGTCAAAAACAGCTACGTGATGCCTACAGAATATTGTTTGAATTTAAAAAATAGACGGTTTTAACAAACCATACCTGAACTCCATCATTCCGCTGCTTTCTTTGCTTGAATGTAGTAGCTAATTGCACCTGGTGTTCCCTAGAAGCATTTAGAATTTCTGCAAAGAACTTCCTCTTCCTGATATCTGCCTGATTTTTTTCTTCCTCTTCGAGTCTTGACATCCTCTAAAGTTCGAAAGCACCAATATTGGGATCATGGTTTCAACTAAATATAAACTGCCAAAAATATACGAAGATATATTGCACAAACCTCTGTAAATCTCTTCTTGCGGTGAACATCATCAGCATCCATTGAAAGGATATCTCCTATTCCATACATGGATAAAGGATACCGTATCCGCATCAGCCCCCAATCAAAAAGTTGCCTCTCCGGATATGCACATTTCTTGTGTAGCCAATATTCTGCACTGATATCGGATCGCACTTTCTTCTGCAAATCTAACAACTGCACAATATATGAATAATCAGCAAGAATTGATGTCGCATGTCACCGCTTATAGGCATGTAAAAATCATGTGGCAAATGAATAATGCAAGCATAGCGATAAATAACCCATATATTTCAGATTGTATCATTTGTTGATAGTAATCTATACATTCAGGGTTAAAAATAAATATCGAATGAACAGCCAGTAAGAACAAAGTAATCTCTGATTCTATATACTGCATTACTGATTTTACCTTTAGCCCATACAATTCAAGCAAACACTTCATTTGCAAGTCTTCACCCCTAGTAGAAGGTAATCCTGGCAACAAAAAAGAAATGAGGGATGATGTAGCAGCAGAGAGACAATACCGATATCCAACAACTAAAGTTCTTTAAATTAAAGAAGGCAAGAAATAAAGAAGCTTTAAAGGCAGCTACAAGGAAAATAAATGCAAACACGTGTGAAACTGTATTTTCCATATGATCAACATTCAATAACAAGTGGATAGCATCTATTGTACAATCAAATAAGAAAATGTAATCCTAAATTGCAGTTCTTAGCAGAACAGTGGTTCACTAGGTTCAAGGTATGGGGTTCATGATTTGTGGTTCACCACTTCATAAAAGTAAGGTTCATAGCGCCTCATAGGGGCATGCCTCTTTGGGTTCATGATTCATAACTATTTGTGGTATGGCCATAGAAATATTTAACCCGTGCGTTGCGCGGGAGGAAAAAAAACAAAAAAAACTGGCCTGTTATCTGGTAGGCAAGAAAAAGTAATGCACGCGTAAACAGTATCGGGTGAACAGTGCACATGAGCAGTATTCAGCTATTTGCTGCAGCACACGCGGAAAGTATTTGTTATAGTGCATGTGAATAGTATTCACTACAGGACACGTGAGCAGTGCTCGCTCCAGGACACGTGAGCAGTATCTGTCGATGTGGGCTTTTGAGGGATTAGGAAATGGTGTACAAAAACATAGGTAATAATGGCAGATAAGTAAGCAGAGCCACAAAGATCTCCCCAAGACACCAAAAATTGGAAAGCTTATTTAGAGGAATCAATTAAAGAGTTTGGAGAATATAAACTGGAAAAAAGATGTGCGCCAGCAGATGTTGGCTGGTCCAGCCCAACCGAGCCACCATGCATTCTCCTAATCTGCCCTAGCATGCTCTATTCGCTCCCCCCACAGCACACAGCCATCTCCAAGGAATGGCGACACACCCAAAAAAAATTCCAGCGCAATGGGGACACATCTTTGACTCTGAAGGCGTGAAGCAGCACAGGTAAGCGCACCCCCAGTTTACTCTAGCTTCGCCACTGATGGCAACCTCAATCTATTGGAGAAAGGCAGTGGAGGTGCAAGCATCTCTCTCTCATCCATGATCTACCCCAAAACCTTAGTGCGAAGCAGCGGGAATCAGATCTTGGCATCTGTCTTAAATTTCGGTTCGGCAAGGGGCATGCACAACCTGCCAACTCAGGGCGAATCAGAATTCATCGGACATCACGATTTGGTCGACGCAACCTGAATTGCAGCACGTGGCCTCTTTAAATGATTCCTATAACTACGGTTTTCACCTTCCTAAAGTTCCATTATGCATTCTTTTTTACCAAAGTCAAACTTAGCAACTGAGCTGGGACCAAGGTGGTCACAAGACCAAAAGAAGGCTTAGAACCGATGCCAAACCAACAACCTTCATAGACATAAGACTTAGTTCAGTTGACATGGAAGGCTAAAAACAAAAATACCCAGCCAACACAACCATGTTTTATAAGACCATAAAAACGAATTTGGGAAATGAAAGCTCAGAAATGTGTTTCTTAAAACTAATGTGACCTGGAGAATTACACAGCTAACAGAGTATAAAAAATATAAGACCTTCAAGTTCAGCTAGCCGATGCTGGATGGATGCATTGAATCGCCCTTCTTTTAGAGCTGCCAACTCTGAGTAGGATATTGGTGCTTTTTTATTCTTATATATTGCATCTTCAAGCTCTTCGATCAAGGAGACCCCCTGTAAGGTAACAGCTTTACTCTCAGTGAAAAAAAAGAGGATAAGATCATTTAGAAGCTATTTCAGAGAAAGCACTTCACGTCAACAAAACCAAAAGGAGGTAAAGTACCCAATTATCACAATGACAAATATGATATTTAAGGTTACATCAGAAACAATATGGCAAATACCGCAACACGTAATGAAGATCGGCACTTGTTATCATTGTTTCAGTGAGTAATCAAATTCTAAACCAGAACACATTTTTAAGAAAAGGAAAACTGGATAAGTCAAGCCATCCACCAAGGGCAAACGGGAACTGATAATTTATCCCTAGTCAAACTTCATCTGATGTATAGATTAGTTATTACTAAAACAACACCCTATTCATCCATTCACAACAGATCAAACTTCAGAGAGCACAAACTCCAGTCACCACAAATTCTTCAAATAGCGGCTGCAATCTCAGACATCTCTAAAGATTCCAGAGCATACATGTATGTTGATCAGATGACACTTTTTCCACTCTTGGTAACAAAAGGGGAATGAATATGCCCATCACAGTTCCCAGCTAACTAAACAGTGATGGTTTCGAATACAACCTAGGTGAGATCTAACAAATGTCACTTGAACAGTAAATCAACCACGCACAGCAAATGCATATTTGGTGTTGGAGAAAAAAAAATAGTGCAACACAAAATCCAATGCACAGAGAAGTAAAGCAACCCGCATTCCCAACAATTTGTCTTATCAATAGCTAAGGTTAGAAAGTTGTACGGACATGTCATTAATTAGTTATAAATTCAAGAATATGTGCCTAATAAAAAACAAGAACCAAAAGGAAAACCTGGCCTACCCGAGCACAGATGACACCCAAGAGAACAAAAGAATAGCATGCCATGCTTATTTCAGCATATATATAAATAAACCATACCACATTAACAAAGAATAAAATACAAATTTACGACAAAAGGATATACAGAATTATGTATTTTCTAAAGTAGCCAATATATTGCTGGTTCCAACACAGCACCAGAAGAAGTGGGTAGAATTTCAAACAACTGGGAAATATAAATGCTCGATCCTACATTATCCAACAGAGTCACTTTATCTGGATCTCAAACAGACAAATGTATTAGAAACCTTGTCCCTTGCATCATAATCAGGCAATTGTGTCCAAATAAAATTATTTCACCTAATGAATATGAAGACCCACAACAGAGAAATTTGCACAACCTCATACAAACGCATCAGCCGCCAAATACTAACAATCAAAAGCTACTAATGCAAGGGAGCAACCAATTGCAAGCAAAAACAACGCTCAGGTGCAGTCCACAATCCCCAGCACGGAGCTCGCTCGAATCTAGAACTACTAGCGAAATAACAAGCCAAATCACGTCGAATTCCACAACCCGTAACAAGCAGGGACCCAACAGCCCGACACCAATCCAACACACAGCCCCGGGAGCACCCGAACCGAAGGGGGGGAAATCCCCACACAAACAAGAAGAACCTCCCGCACGCACCTTGGTCGTCGCACCGTCAGCGGGGTCCTCTTTGGCCTCCGCGATCCCATCCGATGCCGCCATCTCCTTATCCCCTTCCTTCTCGGCCTCCCGCTCCTCCCCCTCTTCCTCCTCCTCGTCGTCCCCGGCACCCCCATCGTGATAGATGGATGAGACCGCGCGCAGGACGTCGGGGGGCAGCGGCAGGTTGCGGGAGAGCAGGTTGAGCGCGCCGATGAGCGTCCTGGCCTGCTCAACCGCGCCGCCCGCCTCCTCCACGGCGGTGGGGGGCGCCACCGCCGCCGCAGCGTCCACGGACGCCGCCATCGCTAGGGTTTCGCCCCGCGCCGCCTCCGCGGGGCGAGACGGCGTCGGCGTCGGCGCTTTCCCCGGCGGGTTCGAATCGGAGCGCGGCAAACGGTCCGCGGGGTTTTGAGCGGGGTTTGATCGATGGGGCTGGGCGTTTTCGCGCTGGCCTTGTGTCAGGGGAAGCCGAAGCTTCGATCGATCGGGGGAGAGACGGGCGCCGCGGATGCCTGTGGCCTGCGCAGCGGATGGGGAAATTTGGTGATTCCTTTTTTATTGTTTTTTTAACAGCGTTCGGGCCTTGGGGTATATATATTGGGTCGGGTTGGGCGTGGACGGGTGTGATCTGATTCGGCGGTTGGGTGTGTGCAGTTGGCATGGGCTGGGCCTCAGCCGGGAGGCCGGCCTGTATACGAACCTGACCAAACTCAGCCCATTTACCACGGCGGGCAATAATAAACCGCTCTCTGCTTCGCCGGACGCCAATAATCAGTCCACACCGCGTGAGCCCGCATCGTCCGGACATCGCCGCCCAGACTCGTCTCATCACCCCACGGGGCCCGCGCCGCCAGAGAATGTCACCAAATACCACAAAGTCCATGGGGACCGCCATCGCCTCTCGCTTCATCTTATACGAAACACCCGGTCTACTTTTGAAACATTCAGATACAATACTTGCAACATACGAAAAAGATAGATTAAACACTTGAAACATACGTCTGAAACACTTGTAAAAATACTTACGCAACATCCAAATAAAACACTTGCCATATACAACATCCAAATAAACACTTGCAACATACGCATAAAAAACAAATAAAATATTGGGGACAGACGTTTGCAATATATGCAACATCCAAATCTAGTTTTGCAACATCCATATGAAACAATTGTAACATACCTCTAAAACATCTGAAACATTTAAAAATGTGTACTTGCAACATGCATCGTATACTGGTGCGGCATCCTCTGTCGTTTGCATCGGGGCACTGCAGCCGTAGCAGGAAGCGAGGCCGAAGGGCTTCTGCGCCAGGTCCTAGTGCTTCTCCTTGTGATGGTAGCGGCTGTCGGCGTCGTCGAGCGGGTGAAAGCCCTAATTTGATTTTGGATAAAGGATGAAACCTAGGGACTAATCCTTGTATTAAGTGTATAGATATGAAAGGATGGTCCCATGCCAAGTGGTGGAGCAAGAGGATGATCATGGTAGATGGTGATGACCAATAGATGATCAAGTGCTTCACATTTAGAAAAGAAGACAAAGAAAAATAAAAAACAAAGAAATCAAAGCAAAGGTATAAGATAGGTTTTTGTTTTAGCACTTAAGACACTATAGAGGGTGTAAGTGTGTTTAGGATCGATAGCCGTACTATAAAGAGGAGAAATATTTGGCTAAGCAGTTATCGAATGCCACTAGGTGACATTGTTCTTGCATATGCATTTAGGAACCTAGCATGCTAACTTTGTCCCTTGTAAAATGCTTTGAAAAATACTAACACGCGTGCACACAAATTCTACACTTTGTGGTTAGCAAGTTGAAAGCAAGGGCGAAGTGGTGGACTTAGAAAAAGAAAAGGAGGCGAAGACTGGCGACCGGACGCTAGCTCTGTCCTGATTGGACGTTGGCTAGCTGAGTCCGATCATTTATAGCGAGGACACGCTGTTGGCCGAGAGGGCCGAGGAAGGACCGGACGCTGGACCTGACTCCAGCGTTGCGTTCGATCACATTTTTAGAGGTGGCGAGTTGGCACGATCAGACGTGCAGGGGCCGCGTCAGGTCAAGTGCTGACGTACGCTGGCGTCAGCACTCTGGGAGCGCACAACAGAGCAGAGTGAGGACCGGACGCTGTAGCGTGTCAGGTCATCATTGACCTGATGCGTTCAGTCGGTGATTTCTGGCTCTGGAACCTTTTATGTTGTTGATCGGACGCAGGGTGGCTAGGGTTAGGTCATTCCTAGCGTCGCGTCCGATCGCAACTTAACGAAGCGCGACGGTCTTTCTACAGTTGGGATCGCACGGCTACGCTTGAACATGAGGGCACACGTGGCTGCATCCGCTTCACCGGACACTGGCGCGGTGTGTCCGGTCAGTTCGACCGGCGCGTCTAGTCAGCACGCAGAAAGCTCCCCTTCGTCTCTAACGGCTCTATTCATTTGGGGAGCTCTATAAATAGTGTTTGGCTGGCTTGGGGCTCACTCTCTTGGCACTTTGACATACTTGACATCCTTGTGAGCCTAGGCAAACACCTTCTACTTATCTTCATCATTAATTCATCATCATAGTGAGATTAGGAGTGATTTCAAGTGCATTTGCTTAAGTGATTGCATCTAGTGGCACTTGGGGATCATTGTGGTTGCGGATTTCTTGTTTCTCTTAGTGGTTGCCTCCACCTAGATGGCTTGGAGCAGCAAAGGAGCTTCGGCACGTGATGGTGATTGTTTGTGGCCGGCTCTGGTGATTGTGAGGGGTCTTGCGCCTTCCTTAGCGAAGGGCCGCAAGGTAGCTCTAGTAAATTGCTCATGTCATTGAGTTACCTCACTTGTGGATAGGTTCTTGTGGTGTCCATTTGTTGGACGAGGTTCGTGCAACACCTCTTAGTTGCCAAACCATCAAGTGTTGATCGACACAATAGGGACTAGCGTGCCAGCAAGTACGTGAACCTCGGGAGAAAAATCTTGTGTCACTTGTGTGATTGGATTTCTCCTGATGATTGAATTGGTATTCATCTTGTAATTGGTTCACTCCTCAACTCGGCGGTATAATCACCCTACTCAATCTATTACTTTCTTGTAAACTAATTGTAGCAAGCTCTTTAGTGTAGCTAGTTGTGAGAGCTTGCTTTATAGCTTAGTTTCATCTAGTAGATCTCTTTAGTGTAGCCTTGTTGAGAGCTCTTAGTGAGTAGTGACTTAGCCATTATATGTACCTAGTGATCATAGCAACTAGAATTATTGGGATAGGTGGCTTGCAACCCTTGTAGAGTTAGAGCAAAATTGTATTACATCGTTTGTTGTACTAATCAATTGCTTTAGTTGATTTGTAGATTTTTAAATAGGCTATTCACCCCTTGTAGGGCCGAGATGGCGTGGTGAAAAGAGTACTAATCCTTTGAAAAAATGTTTGTGAAAAGCTAACACACGTGCACAAGGTGGTGTTCACTTGGTGGTGTTAGCACATTTGCAAAGATGGTGAAAAAGGCGAAGAGGAGGAGGCAAAACCGGGCTCAGAGTGTTGCCTGGGTGGCACCACCACCCCTAGGGCGATGCCCACCAGACCTAGGCCGAGAGCAGCAGTGGGTGACTTGGTCACCACCGTGTCTAGCGTGCACCGTCGTGTGGAGGGCGGTGGCACCGCCTAGGGCTGTCCGGTGCACCACCCCTTTTCGGCAGAGAGCAAGGGAAGGCGAGGGGGTCACCACCATGGTCACCACCATGGTGACGGCGGTGCACCGCCCTAAATTTCCAGAGACATGGCATTTTGGGTGGCTGGCTGGGTGGTTACCGCCATCCCTAGGGCGGTGCCACCGCCACCCTTGTTCGATGACCAACGCATTGGAATTCGACTATTGAGCGGGGCACCGCTCTGTCGGTGCCAAGCACCGACCTATCCGGTGCCCTCGCAGAGAAGGGAATCTTTAGAGTAACGGCTCTATTTCATGTGGGGGCTTATAAATACACCCTTGGTCGGCCTTGGGCTGGTTGCTGAGCACCCTTAAGCCTTGGTGGCTTATGTAGGTGTGCTTGGATGCCCTCTAACTCACTTGTGCTTGCAAGAGTGCGATCCGATTATGAGTGAGTGTGATTCTAGTGCGTTGCATTGTGAGGTTTCATCGAGTGGCACTAGGTGATTGAGTTGCAAGCCGGTGGTGCTTGTTACTCTTGGAGGTTGCCTCCTTCTAGACAGCTTGGTGGCTTATGACTCCATTAAAGCACGCAAGAAGATTATGCGGTGCTCTGGAGGAGGATTTGTGAGGGGGATTGTGCTCACCCCACGGGGATTGCGAAGAGCAACTCTAGTTGAGCCTGCCATTGAGCTACCCTCACTTTTAGGGTAGGTTCTTGTGGTGCCCGACTACGGGCTTGACGGGTGATACCAATTAGCCATCGAACCACCAAGTGAGCGATCGACACAACGGGGACGTAGTTTGGTGGCAACCAAGTGAACCTCGGGAGAAAATCATAGTGTCAACATTGTCTTCATCATCTTCTCGGTGGTTTGCATTCCACGCAACACAAGCTTGTATTACTTTCATTTACATTGTGCTTGTGTAGTTGCTCTTGTGACTAGTTTAGCTTTAGTAGCTTGCTAGTTACCTTCTTGCTTGTGTAGCATAGAAGTAGCTCACATGCGTGGCTAATTTAGTTTTAGTAACATTGTTAGTCACGTTGCTTAGTTTGTGTAGCTAAGTGATTTGTGCTCTCTAATTTGGTTTGTGTAGCCTTGTTATTGAGCATTGCTAGTGAGCTTAGGAGCTTTGTGCTTTTGCTTACTAGATTGTGTAGGAGCTCCCCCGGTTGGTAAAGTACTAGTGCATGAGTTTGTATGACCTTGCTCTAGAATTAATTAGGTGAGCACTAGCTAGCCCGGCACCTTTGTTGCCTAATTAGAATCTTTATAAGGTGCTTGTGAACTTAGAGGGGTGTAGTCTTGGCTAGACCAATAGCTTTAATTTCGTATTTGTTTCGGTTAGCTGGTGCAATTACGTTTTAGAAAGGACTATTCATCCCCCTCTAGTCCGCCATCTCGACCCTACACATGGTATCGGAGCTTAGTCTCTCATTTATGGTCTTCACCTACCCGAGAGGATGGCGTCTAGTGGGATAGATGAATGTGACACACACATCTTTGATGGCACATACTTTGCACGATGGAAACACCATATGCTTGATTTCGTGCAAAAAGACCTAAGTTTTGGTGGGTTGTCACAAGTAGTCTCACCCATATCTTGAACCATAAAAATCTAACCAAAACTCAAAAGGTCCTCTTTGAACCTAAATTCGATGCTTATTTATTTCTAATGAAT